GGTGGACCAGCTGAAGGTGACAGGGATCAAATCGAGACATTGAGAACATCAGTGTTCTACCATGAGGGAGATACCTGACATACAAAAAATACTCAGATCAATAAAGTTATTGGTGAAAATAAGAAATGTGTCTTTTATTTTACAGAAAAAAAGCTATATGGGCTTTTTTGGCCAACCCAATAGCACAAGACTGTGTGAGAACTGTATTTTTAGAAAATGAGTTTTCAGAATGCCTTCAGTTGTGGCTTTGTTTTTGTTTTTTTTTAATTCTCTTATGTTTGAATATATTTGTCATAGATACAAGAAACTAGTCCATATGGATAACACAGGCTGATTGCGCACCATTCCAGTTAAACATGCTGGGTTTTGTTTAGTTACGTTGTGTGGCTTTCGTATACATTACTGCCCCGTAGGCCTCATCCACATACCTCAGAGTAACCTAATATACGTCCTTAAATTGAAAACATGATTTGAGTTTGGGGGCTTCATTTATGGTAAAAATCGTGAAATGCAAGGAATTCGGTGAATACACAAAGTATTTAAATAAAATTTAAGAAACATTTCACAACTAGCTAGTGCTAGCAGTGTTGACAGATGAAATATAAATTATGTAGAGATGAGTCATAATTTGGGGTCCTTCTGTTAGCCCACAGTTTTCATTTTATAAGACTTCTGATCCTGTATTTTGTGAACCAGGCATATTTTACCTTTTATTTTCAATTCTTTTAAATTTTTACGCATTAATCTATATAAATCTTATTTATCTGCAAAGTCATTCTATGTACTCACAGATTAGGGCTGTAAATCCTGTTTCGAGTAGGTCAGGAAGTGTTAGGTTTGGGCTGGATGGGAATTATGTGTGAGTGATCTGCTTTCTTTGCTTTCTCGTTTTTTTTTTCAGCTGATGAAGGGAAGAGAATCAGAAAACATTTGTATTGTTTAAGGTCAAAAAAAAAAGGCTTTGCCTTGCCTAGGCAGTTGAGCCTCCTGAGGCCTGGGAGGGACCTGGAACTCCTTCGGGTTCTGCAGATCCTAGAACATGGCTTGAAATGGGGTGGGGAGGTGCCCCAAATATTTGTTCCATTGCAATTTTTCACATTTTAGTAAAAGTTACGCATTTTTCACAATATTTCTGATAATTTTTAAGGTTAATTCTATTTTCCTCCGTACAGATACCTTGTTTTTGCTTTAGAAGTTAAAGATCAGAAAAAGTTGAGTACGGACTGAACCAAAGCTCTATGTTAAAGATATTAGTTCAGCTTTCAGTTTGATTTTGTTTAGCTTTGATTTGTTGGACATCAAAAAGAAGAAAGGCAGGAAAATATTTAGATTTTTTATAGTCAAAGAAGAATAAAGATTTGAAATAGCACCCAGATAATTTAGGGAAAAATAAATCTTGAGAAATTTTTAGTTTACTTTTTATGCATATTAGTTTTTTAATAAAATGATAATTTGTATATTGTTTTGAAAATAAAGAATTATTCACAGGAGAGAATAAAATCAATTACAGGCACATTATATAATTACTGTTATATTTACCGATTCATATAGTTTATTTGTTACAAATGTTTGTGTCATAGGTACCTATTTATATTCATATTAAGCTTTTTTCCCCCCACATTGTTAATCATTTTTTTAAAAGATGGGTTTTCATGGCTGTTTAAATAGGCCATTGTTTGGAAGGCCTATGAGGTATTTCACTACTCCTTCAGTAGGTATCCAGTTTTAAAGTCCAGGTTTTTGCTATTATAAATATATCTGCAGTGTTTTTGTTTTCTTACCTGATGAATGGGAACATGTTTCCCAAAGTAGAATTACCAGGTTAAAGGGTATATGGTATGCATAGGCTATGAACAGCTTTGAGCCTTGAATTACACAGTATTAGATTGCACCCCCAGAAAAGACAGCCTCCAAAGGATTCTTTTAGCCTTTATTTATTGCATCTAGGAAGTTTTAGTATTTTTCGTTTCCTCATTATAAGTATGGAGACATTTTAAAGTTGTTTCTTTAATTTAATCACTTGTGTTAAGACCACAGCTCAAACTAAGAGGTGAATTGCACAAGTCATTTTTGGGATTGGATGAGACCTCAGCCATCACATATTAATACTAGTAATGATTATTGAGGGCAAGTGCACGGCTTCTGTGCCCCCGGTTTTCCCCGAGGGCTGTCGGAGAGTCACCTCCCGTTCCTCGCACTGTGTGAGGTGTTCATGCCGTGGGGAATGAGTCCAGGAAACAAAGGCAGCAGGCTCTTCGTTATTAATTGGTTTACATAGTCTTCCCAGAGCTTTTTCTTCTGAATAATTGTTAGATGGAAAACAGAAAAAGCAGATTGAGACTGACTGTACATTTTAGATCTGGGGAAGATAGAGAACTGGTTCTTTTTTGTCCTATCACTTACAGTTTTTAAACTAAATTGTATAGGCCATTATTACTTCATAAATTACCAGTATTACTGTAATTGATTTGAGCAGCCTGCCAGAGACACTAGAAAGAATGTGAGAAACAATGTAGGTAATTGTTGAGATCACGTGTCTGCTCTGTTCTCGGAGCCCCGGTTTGGTATAGGCATGTTTATATTAAATTTAGCTCACCCTTTAATTGGAACCATGCTCCATCCTGCTGCTTTTATAAAATGGTGGGAGACTTCTGAAGAGTCGGTGTTCACTCGAAACACTCAGGGTTTTCATTTAGCACACATGTCTAATGATTCGGGGTTACAGAACGAAGTTACCAGTGGCCCACAATTAGTGGGAGCTTGGAATGTTCCACCTGGAGGGTACCTGAGGTCCCGCTCCAGGGGTATCTGAGTGGTGCGGCAGAGGTTCCCAGCCACGGGGAAATTCAGCCTGCGTGGGCAGGGGGATACTTTGTTAAGCCCAGGAATACTATGGGGGGAAAATGCAAAGTTATGGAAAGTTTTAAGACAAAGCGTTAGATGTCAAGGCCATGTGCATTAACCACCCACAGCCCTGGGCTGACCCTGACTCTTGAGGAGGAGTTAAGTTCCCTCACCCCTGCTTTTAGTGTCACGGGAGTGGAGGGTGGAAAGCACTGCTAGAGCCCAGCCTTTCCTTTTCTGACAGAGGTGAGGCCGAAGAGGTGAAGGATCCTTCCCACCATACGTAGGAAGTCACTGTGTGTAATGGGAACTCTTGGGCAGCTGCGGCTCACAATTTTAAGAGCTGTATTCTTCGTACACCCAAATGGTAGGTCCGTACACTGTAGGTCTTCACAGTTATGAAGGTCTTCAGTGACACTCATTGGAGAGTACCTTAGGACTGGCTCATTGCTTATGGAAAAAAGGTCTCTGAAAGAGCAGTTTTGTCATTATTTCAGTAAGTCTGAGGCACTCAGACTTATGTCCTATGAAAGGTTGGTTGACTACTTCCACACACTGCAGTCCAGCTTAAATTCATGGGGCGTGCAGGTCGGGGTGGGGGGGCAGTTGCAAATGTGTGTTTTGCCCAGGGCCACAGCAGCCACCACAGAAAGGTGTCCCTTCTGAGAGATTGTGGGCACCGAGAGTAGCGGTTTTTATCATTACTTACACACATAATTACTCTCCTCTCTGCCAGCTACTTTCGTGTCCTCTGGCAACACCCAGGACAGGCTGGGTTGTAAATGGCACCCACTTAATACTTAGCGAATTCAGCTTGTTCATTAAGTAAGGGAGGGGGGGTATGTGTTTGTGCTCCAGTGCTGAATTTTATCGTGGTGCACTGTTTTATGGGAGGGAAATCGTGCAAAAGTAGAACTAAGCCAGCCAAGTTCTTCTGTTGACATTAGACTCACCTGGAAAAGGATGGTTTGTTGTATGTGATAATCTTAAGAGCTCGTGGTAATGCCCCATTGATTTAACCCATGTTACCGGATCATTGTTCAGAAGATGAATTGTTACTACAAAAGAGATTTTCTGAGAAAAGTTGATCAGTCATTTGGAATTCTATAGGATATTGAGTTCTATGAATAATACCAAAGTAGAATTTTTTCATATGTCTTATCCTTAAAATTCACTTGAAACTGGAACATTAGTGAGAGTTTGGGGGGAAATGTGGTCTGGGGCTATGATTGGATGGACAAATGAAGAATAATCTTAGCGTTTTAGAGTAAGAGCTAGAAATTCATCGTTTTTTGAATTTATGTATATGTGGCTAAATGGAAAGAGAATATTTGTTCACACGAACTTGTGAAAGTGAGATTTGTGAGTGAGTTGGAAGTGACAGTGGCACACAGTGTGACTGACGCAGGCATCGTAGTGTCTTGAATGCTGTGTGAAGCTGCGAGCAATGGCAGAGAAGAGGAGAACCCTTGTAAAAGGCCGCTTCGTTTTTTTACTCAATAATTTAGTTTTTATTTAAAAGGTCCCCATAGTGTTGCACGTGACTCTCTCCTCTTTGGGGAAGGTCTATTTAATTTTTTTTTTGGTTGCAAATACAAAGTAGTAAATATAACTATGAGAGAATAAGGGAACGAAAGAACTATTATGTATTATGCCCTCGAGTTGTAGCAGCTAAGCACAGCGTACACACAGCTCAGTTAATAAGTAAAACAGGGCCTCGCCACTTGCCAGTCTTTGAAGGCACAGAAGACAACTAGCTTCTTCATCATTTTGTATTGTGCCTCACCACGTTCATGGTGGTGGGGCGATAATGACTTTAGGAGAACCCTTACGTATTAGAGGCTCACTACTGATAAGATGTGAACAGAATTTGATATTTCATATGAAATCTGAATAGTGTGATTTGAGACAGCAATGCGCCTGTTAAACCGTAGAGTCAGGAAGTAACTTCGTCTGTGGAAGGGAGGGTCTGTGACAGGGGAATACCGGCTGCTTTTGCTAAAAGGATTTCAAATTTCCCAATACCCGAATTAAACGCATTTATGAGGTTGTAATTTTCTTCGTGTATGCCTGTGATGTCGTTACACAGCAGTCAGTTATAATCAAAACATAAATATTTAAATCGCGATTTGCCCTTTTCGATGTTTCTCATCTAGAAAGAGCTGGCCGGCAACCCTGACTGTCCTCAGATGTGTGCCTATAAGCTGGTGACCATCAAATTCAAGTGGTGGGGGCTGCAGAGCAAAGTAGAAAACTTCATTCAGAAGGTAAAATCCGTTCACAATGCAGCGACCGCAGTTTAGGTTACGATTTTTGAGGTAGCTGTTCATGGGATATTTTCTGTTACCACTTTGCTTTATTTCCCCCCTCGTAAGGTAAAAATTATTGTCTGTGTGTAATTCATTCCTCTCTTCCCTTCTTTTTCTCCCTAGAAACACCAAAGACAGGTGCCCGCAGAGGTTTTCAGGGTCTTGCTTTAGGGAAGAGCATAGCAGTTTTTTGGTTAAAGTGGTTTTTGGTGGTTTGCTCAGCTCTTCTGTGGAGCGCCTTTCCCACACACAGCAGGTCCCCAGGGGGACACGGTGCGCCACACGGGCCGAAGGGGGAGACCAGGCCTCGCCTGCCGAGGTGCTCCTTCGCCCCCCTCAGCTGGGCACCCCTCGTGCCTTCCGCACGTCCTCTCCCGACATGCACTTTTCCTGTGTGCGCTGCGCTCTCGTGGCGTGTCTTCTCTTTAGGGGTCCTCGCCAAGAACAGTTACCCCGAACCTGAGGATCTGAAATCTGATCGTCTCTTTTATGACTTCTGTATGAAAGTGAAAGTAACAGGGGCAGTTTATCTAGAAAGAGGGCGGGAATTGCAGTTGTATAAAAATACACATGCTTATAAACACATAGGAATATGGAAAGTTCTTTGGTATTTCCTTTTCCTGGAGGGTGAATGTTGATTTCATATTCATTATAAAGAAGCCCCTTTTGTATCTCTGACCCACACTAGTTGTGGTGGCAGAACTCCACCATTTTTTTTTTTTTAACTTTTAAACTGTAACTGCTCTAACAGGTTTTTTTTTTCTTTCTTAAAGATCTTAAAGTCTGGAAACCAATTATTCTTGGGCCTGCTTACAGTTGGCCCACAGTAGGCACTCTGTAAATACTGGCCTCCTTGCTTCCTCCCGGATCATAATAGACTAACGATCTAGTTCTGATAAATAGAAGTCACTCGTGTAATTGGTGAAACCCCTTCTGTTCATGGAAAAAAATGTGAACGTTGAAGATTGTCCAAAAGTACTAAAGTACTCACTGTTCAGTGCACTTCTCTGTTCTTGGGAAAGTTTAATTAAACCTAAATAATCCAGCAGTTACAACATTAATTATATATATGGTGTGTGTGTGCATGTACATACGTGTATGTGTCTGCACACATCTACACATACGAACATTAGAATAGAAAGATTAATGGACAGTATGTAACAATTCTTAATTTAATAAAACATCTTACTCCAAGAACCCAGGACTCCTCTTTCAGGATGTTGTTGTATTCCAGCTCACAGCATCCCTTTGAACTGCAGAGAAGTTAAGAATAAGAGTATATATAGCTTTGTAGCAAAAGAAATTGAGTTGACCTTTGGTGATTGACATTTAGAAAAAGGTGAAAACAAACCAGGTCCGGCAGGAGTTTTCCTAGGATAGAATGTACACACCACATTTATATTGTACAGTTGCTTCTAAATACTTCCTTTGCAAGGAGAGATTGCTGCACATTTCACAGGGAAATCTTTCTTTTTATTGTGTTTTACAAAATGCTGATAGTATAAGATTAAGATTTCTACTAATCGATGTAGAAGTCTTTTCAAAGCAAGTATATATCGATTTCATGTGTTAATTGGGAGATATAAGTTAATGTGCCATTAATCTTAGAGTTTTACCATCTTATACTACTTTTCTTCTTTGTTTTAAAAGCAAGAAAAAAGGATATTTACAAACTTTCATCGCCAGCTTTTTTGTTGGATTGACAAGTGGATCGATCTGACAATGGAAGATATTAGGCGAATGGAAGACGAAACTCAGAAAGAACTAGAAACGGTAAGGCTTCCCGTTGGCGGAATTCTCTAATTTTCCCTTTCTAGTGCTGTATGTGTGCTTAGTAAGTATAGGCTTAGAATTAAGAAGAGTGTTATTAGAAGCCATTTCTTAATCCTTATCCTGTGTATCCTTATCAGAACTGAGTTCCTCAGACACTAACATCTCTTCGCATGTTCTGGTCACTCTTGTTGAGCATCTTTTCATGAAAGTAGACTAGAGCTTTCTTGATTCAGAATTTGTTACATGTAAGATGTCCAGTGGTTTGTAAATTCTTTTTTCTGCGTTAGTTCTCTCTGATGGTATCTGGCTCACAGCCCTTCAGACAGCACTTTGTGAGGACAGGTTGCTTTGGTTCATTCCGTTATCACAGTAAGTTACTAATGTTAGCACAGGAAGTCCCAGTTCCCGCGTCTGTAGGAAAGATGAGAGGAGCGATATTGCCACTGATTCCAGAAAAGCCTTCTCCCTCCCACAACTGGCAGTAAGTCTCGTTTCTTCTTAAGCTTTCGGTAGAGATACATCCAAGTGATCCTTGGGCTAGAGGTCAGCAGGCCGTGTGTCACAGTTAAACCCCACCCCGGCTGCCCCTCCACCGGCAAGCAGGCCCTGCGTGGTCTGAGTGCCCCATTTCTCCCAGGGACGGTTCTCCCGAGTTCCTCCTGCACCTCGTGTTGCTTTTGCTCTCGCTCTTGGCTGTGCTGCTTTTCAGTTGTAAGTGAGACCCCGTGGGGGAAACGGGCCCAAGGAGTGTCCAGGGTGGGCTGGTGGTTTCCATGCGGTCATCTCCAGGCCTGGCAGCAGCGGCAGGTTTGGATGCCCTACGGGCGAGCGTTTGACAGACGCCTGTGTGTGCGGCAGGAACTCCATTTAATCACGGGAGAGTGGCAGCAAATCAGGTTCTTTGGCACAGAAAGAAATCTGTTTGTCTGGAACGGAGCATCGTAAAGAATCTGTTTAAAATTGCTTACTTTTGGTGATTACGGCAGATCTGCTTCTAATTAGTTTTATACAAACCTTCTGAGAGGACTAGGACATATTTTCTTTATAAGGCAATAAAATGTTTTAACCTTATCTTATACATAAAGTAAACTTCAGGCAGTCTCCAACTTATGAATGGATTTGGGTCCAAAAGTTTCTAAGTTGATTTTTTGAAATTTGGAACATGTTTCCCCATAGAGAAAACAATGTAAATTGGTATTTAGCTTGTAGGCCAGCCAGTGGAAGCTTCTTCAACCTCAGTTTCTCTTACTACTAGTACGAGGTCACCAGATGGCAAGCATGGAAGACTGTTCCTTACCTCCTTATTTTTAGGCTGGTCCAGTCAAAATGTTTAAACAGGCGAGAGTAAGTCTTGGTTGGGCATGGCCTGTCTCTCTGTGCCTCTCACCAACCTCTGTCTTCCCTTCCCTGACAGTCAGGTGCCCTTCTCCAAGAAGCACCCACCACCACCACTCAGTTTGAATTTCTTTTCCCTGCCTCGCCTGGTTTCGCTCCCTCCAGGTGCTCCAGGCTCCGCAGCACCTGCCAGCTCTGTCCCCAGCCCTTTTGAGCAGCTGGTGTCAGCCAGACGTTGCAAAGAAAGCAGTGTGTGCTCTGGTTTCTCTTCGGATTGCATAAGTCTTTCGCCTTTCACTAAAGGCTTCTCTGGGGAGGCACAGTTCTGGGTTTTGAGGAAAGAAAGCATCATGGTTACACTCATTCTCACTGAACTTATGATCCAGCCTTAGCGTCTCCAGAAATGATTTACCAACACCAGGATAAAGAGAAACAGACTATTTCTATTGATTTGAACTCTCGTGAGGAAGAGTGGTCAGAGGTTGAGGGCGATGGATGGAGCCCTCCCTGACTTGGGCTCTGGACCCTGCCCACATCTGGGCCCTTCGACGGAACTTGGCTGAGACCTTTTCTTCCCCCACAAGTTCTCTGTCTCCTGGTCCCTGGACTCGGAACAGCCCCAGTGGCGACATGACCGGAGAGCCCTGTCTGGCAGGTGGGGACCCACTCCCACCCGCGGCAGCAGACCCGTAGTCTCAGCTGCTTCTCCAGGCAGGTCAGTCAGTTGTGAGTTGGTAATTACACTCGTAGTTTAAGAGAGACACGTAGTTTCACAGAAGCCAAAATTATTAGAAGGTCATTATTATTTTACCCACATGACTCAACTTGATTTCCCCAAGAAGTTAGCAGGAATCTTATCATCGGTTCAGAGCTGGAGGTACAAATGGAAAAGAAATGGAAATTTCTTTATTACATGTTTCAACAGCATTTTAAGGGAAATTTCAGCATTAACTGCTGATCATAACAAAATCCCATTCCAGTCATCTTGCTTCAGGTCACTGGAGAGCCTCTTCCACGTCTCGCTGCTGCCGCCCAGCCCTGGCGGCTGCCCTGGGAGCCTCTCTGTGGCCTGTGGGCCAGGCCACCCGCCCAGGAAGCTGCCACCTCCTGGGAGGTGCGACCCGCTCAAGTCCTCTGCGCCTCGGAGGAATTTCCTCTTTTCTTGAGGTCCCGTATGCCTGACACCTGATGATAGAACTCGATACATTGAATTCTCTTCTTCATTCACAAATATTTTAAGAATCGGGTTTCTTTGAAATGGCTTTTGGCCCTGGAGAGAAGGATAGCATCTTGAGAGGTTAGGCGTGCGGGGGATGCCACGGCCTGGGACACACCTTTGCGTCCGTCCTCAGCCTCAGCGGGCACTTGCTTGGGGTGAGGGAGGAGGGCTGAGTTTAGAAATGTGCTTATCGCATTTGTTCCTTTTCTGTCTCTTCTTTCCCTTAATTTCCTCATTGAGTTTTTTAAGTTGTCTGTAGACTACTTTTTATGAATGCCTATCTTTTCTGATGCATTCCTGTGTCTGTCCTTCATTGTTTCTTATACATTGTTCTTGGGCTTGCTTGTTCTGCCTCTTTTCGATGAACTTCCCATAAAGAACTCCTCGGAGGAACCCTGGGCTCAGAAGCGGCGGAGGTGGCCAGTCCCCCGGCCTCCCTTCCAGCCGGGGGACCCGAAGAACGGGGTCGGACCATTGGGCGTTTCCTCGCCTCGTGCTGACGTTCACCCTTGGCTGTCTTTGCTCATTTCACACACCAGTCTGCAGGCTTTTGTTTCCTAGATTCAAGGATAGACGCACACTTCTTACACTGTGTAAGAAAACCCTTTTGCAAGCTTTTCGTTAGACTAAGGTTACTGAAGGGGCCTCAGAACTCCATTCTCTGTGTGGAAATGGTTATAAACAGGCCATGGTCACTTGACTCTCTTCTAGACCCTTTTTTCTCCCCTTGCTTACTAACCCAATATTGAGTCTCTGATTTCAGCAGCTCATGATTTTATTTTACGTTTAGATGCGTAAGAAGGGTTCCGTCCGAGGCACGTCGGCTGCTGATGTCTAGATGAGTCCCCTGTAGGGTCAGAGACAATATCAAACTGTGTAAGTGAAGACCTGGGGAAAAAGGATATTTAAAAGCCAACACCTTTTTGGTAATGGGTAGTTAACTTGCTGAGGACAGACTAAGTGTTGAATGTGGTTTAATTTTTAGAATTGAAGAGATTGTATTTTAGAATTGATGGTGAACAGTCGAGTTACTATCGTGTAAAAATGTTATCCACGGAACAGATTGAATTTCCTAGTCCCGAACTGCTTCTCAGCGTCACTGGGTCAGAAAGCAGCTGCTGAGTGCACACCGCTCACCACGTGGCACTGTCCCGGAGGCGGCTGATTTGTCACAGTAGCCATTGGCCTCTTTCGGTGGGACCACTTATGGTTAGTAAGGAAATATGTAGGAGCATTTTAAGTCATAGATCTTTTATCCTCACACCAGAAGGGCCAACCGCAACGATTCATTTAATTTTTTCCCCCAGACACCAGAAAGTCTTCTTTTATGTTGACTCGTCAGTTGTCTTTAAGATGTTTAAATCCACTCAGGTTTTTATTTACGTAAATCATTTCTGTGGTACTTCTCTAACACAAATTTATTGTTCAAATTAGAGATTTTCCTTGAACGATAATAGAGCCTAGAAATCTACCCCACATATTGAACTCAGTGTAAGTAAACAAAAATCAACTACACGTTGGTCATTTGTTAACACTGAACCACGGCGTTGACTGAGGAAAAGCACAGGACAACACCCCTCTCACTCCGCCGTGGTTCTCTGCTGCCGGGTCCCGGTGACGCCTGCTCGGTGCTCACAGACCCGTGCGAGGCGGACGTGTGGGCAGCGGAGAGAGGTCGCTGTGCCGAACGTGCTCGGACGAGCTCTGCCCAGCTCCCCCAGGCCCGCCCTGTAAACACACTGCTCCATTTTTTTAAAAAAGTCACGTACTGTTTTTGTTAAATTCTTCTGTGCTTCTGTGGTTTATATTCACTCCCAGTTCATTTTCCCTCTGATGAAACAAAATGGTATGCCATTAGTAAGACCAAAATTGTTAAGAGGATAAATTTAAATTTTTTAAATATGGTCGTTGGGGTCCATTTTCTGTTATAAGTTTTGATGCATTGAGGGGTGTTTTTTTTTTTTGGTTTTGGTTTTTTCAGAAAAATGTGTGCAACAAGCTACTGTCTAAGATTGTTTGTGTCTCCCTGCGTTTTAACACCTTGAACTTCTTTCACTTTCCTTGCAGTTACGTAATCAAGGCCAAGTGAGGGGAACAAGTGCAGCCAGTGACGAGTGAAGAAGAATCTGACCAGGATCTTGCGGTGTTGGCCTTTCCTAAACATGTGCTTATGATCATGTGCTCACGTGCACAGGTTCCCGACCACGTGTATATATATGTTCGTGTGTGTATGTCTGTAGCTGTATATAAAACGCATGTAGAGCCACAGACCTAAATACATACACTTGTGTATATATGTACATATAAACATACTGAAGGGATTAATACAATTTCTCCAAAGTACTGTACCTATCTTCAGCAAGAATGCAAAAGAAAATATTTTCAATATATATAGCTGAAACAGATTTTAATCAGAGTAATACCATTCATTAATGGACAAATTGACTGCGATGTAATACTAGTTGGTATGTTTCATAAATGTCAGAATTGTGGACCAATATATATATATATATATATATACACACACACACATATATATACATATATAAAATAGCCTTTTATTACTTTTCTGTTCTTTAAAATCACTCTCTTAACAAATTTTTATTTTAGTCTCATAAGCAAAGGCTCCCACAGAAAAATGTATTCAGAATCTTTTAGTATTCCAACGAATCTGGAATGTAAACTCTGAGCGTGTATGTAACAACTTGTTTCTGGATGGGCGTTACAGCCAAATTGGGTCATATCCATTAGTCAGGAGTAAAGTTATAGTCCAGTTGTTACTTGTTTGCCCTGAGGGACAAAATCCTTTTTTTAAAAAAAAAATCCGGTTTTTATTGGATTTTTGTATTTTAAATTTCAAGTATTTTTCTACATCAGACATAGCAAAAAAATGCAGATGATGACTTTGTGCTGTAGAATAAATGTTACACAATTTTCAGGCTCCTGTTAGGCAAACAAAGAAATCGATGGGGAAATTAATAGCATTGTAAGCTGTTTAGAAAAATTGGAAGTACAGTGCTTCCACGGAGTCTTGCTTAGAAAAGACTGTCTTCTGAAATTACAACTTGGAAACTATGCAAATGATCTGGATTCCTCACAGCTTACACGATAGACTATAGATAACGATGTTGTTTTGCTCTTTTCACGCTGAAGCAGTTTTAAGGAGGAGATGCTGACTTCGAAATAGGAGAAATTTAAGAGGCAGCATGAGGTTTGCCTGCACAGGGTTAGGAGGCCCCATGGAGGGGCCGGTGCACCTCCACCCACTCGCCTGTGTTCGGGACTCGGGTGGCATTAGAACACAGCCCGGATGAATAGGCACCGGGGAAAAACGCTGGTTAGAGGTTAGAAGCCGCTGCCACCGGTTTGTTTGAAAGAAGAGACCGAACGCTAGGGAAGGATTTCATCAGCTTTCTCTGTCCACATCCAGTTTTTCTCCTTTCGGTCCTGGAAGCTTGAATGGAATGATCTCGTTGAAGCCTTCAGGTCACAAACTGTCTTCTCGAACCTCCGTCCCTCCTTCAACACACCCGCCCCTGTGGTCACGTCACATTAGTAACCTGATTTGCTGACAGCCCTGCCCCCACTCCTCTTTTTCCCACGTGTCCTGTGCTGCTGCGGAAGTGTAGTGACTCAGACGAGGGTGCTTCTGCGTTGCCACGCCCCGTTACCCTCGCTCGAATACCAGCCCACGCTGCATATGTCCGCTGCGTACTCAGGATCAAGACTGATGTTTACTCTCTGAGCAAGCACTGTTGTAAAATAGGTTCTGTCAACATATAATCATTGTCTGCAAAGTGTTTGATGCGAGGAAGATGATTGCTAATTTCCTGGAATAAAGAGTCTTATCCTCTCCTCTTAATGAACTTAACTCTCCCTGGCATCTGCAGCAGCTTTGGGAGCCTGGGCGCACATGGCAACGAGAGCCCTGCGCGTGGGTTTTAATGTTTCTCTAACAACTGTGGAGATTTGAGGGAATATGTGGTGAATGTAAAATACCTAGTTTACTTGGCAGTCTCTTGTGTAAATTACAGTAAAACAAAGTAAATGAAATTTAAACAAAAAATAAATTTGATCACAAAATGCCACTTGTGTGCTTGAGTGGTTGTTCCCCTGGTGCCACGTCTGCTCCGAGCCCTGCAGGCCGCTTCTCTGCTGTTTTTCCAAGAATCCCCTGACTTTCAGCACTACCACTCTGGGAAAAATAAAGAAAAAACGGGGTTTGTCTTGTTTTCTGGGGGTTTTTTTAATTGCAAACTCCTGTTCTTGAAATGCGCCTATGCCACATTAAGTGGTTATATTTAGCTTCTTAAATAATTTTGTCGTTAAAAGCCAAGCAATAAACTAAAGAAAGATGATTATTAGTCTCAGAGGTTTTTTAAAAATTATTTTTCAGGGGGAAAATATAGAAAGCCCACAGTGTTTTCAAAAGCACTCGGAGGATTTTGCTTTCTTTTCCTCCCCTCTTTCAGGACGTGGGAGGGTCTGCGGCTCTTGGACGTGTGTAACAACTGTTCTCTCGTGCTTCCAGCTCACGGTATAGAGCTGCTCAACTTTTGGGGAGGCGGCCAGCTCTGTGTGAATGCATTTCATATATAATGTCATATTTTGAGGGTGTTCTGTTTGTCTTCTGAGGTCATTCTCCCAGTGTTTTATTTCAGACACAGGGCTCGCATTCACACGGGCCTCGCTGGAGGTGCCAGGAGGAATACAAGCAGTACACAGTCCGTGTGGGGGGACAGGCATGTGAACAGATAAATGACAGTTCCATGGGGTACATGGTCTCTTAACAGTACAGAGTTGGTAGAGATCTTTGATGTCATTCACATTGTACAAATGAGAAAAATAAGTCCAGGCCAGAGGCATCTGGGATCCAAAGAGCTCAGTGGGCAAGGCGTCAGCACGCCCCTTGCGGCCCCACAGTGAGTCCTGGACTCTGTCAGTGGAGTCAGTGGAGGCCAAGGTGCCCAGCTGGTGCCCGTTCAGGGCCGGTTGAGACCTATGTGCTAGCACGTGGTACGTCCTCTGCAGTGTGGTTTTTCACTTCCTGTTCTGTTCACTTACCAGACTGCCTCCTGCCTGATCTAAAACCACTTTGGACCTAACACCTGGCTTTTAAAAACCTCCCCTTTCTCTCCCTTCCGTTTGCTAAGCTGTTAAACTTGTTAAACTTCAGCTCAGCCTCCTCCTCAAATCTTGTCTCTGAGGAGGGAAGAAACGTTTATTAACAGCTGATTGGCCCACCATTCAGCTGCTGAGCTGACAGGGAGCTGGTATGAAATTCCCTGCCCATGACCACTTGGAAGGAGGAACTTCGGACTGTTCTTAGTCCTCCAGACCTGGTGATACTGAATGCCACTGTGTTACGAGACAGTTTGGTGGACACCAATGGAGTGTTTCAAGGCAATATGAGAGTTTGGGGCTTCACCTGATGGGGGGAGGGAAAGTGCGAGGGGGCAGGTTAAAGATTGTCCCGCCGAGTTTGGAGCAGCTACCTCCGATGGGGAGCACTCCCTGGGAGCCGTGCCCGTGTCTGTCGGCTGGGGTCGTGTTTTCCAACCTGAAATTACTAAGTGACAGCAGGTCCCTTCAAAACCATTTCTTCAACTAGATTGGATTAGGATAAATAGAAATTGCCGATATTCTAAAGCTGCTTCCCAGAAGTTCCAAGGCCATCCTAAGCACTGAAAGCAGTGTGCTCGGCCGTTTGGGATACCTGACACTTGGAGGTTCATCCCTTTTTTTTACCCTTTGAAAGTAGTGCTGCGTTGAGAGGCATCTTTTATTTAAAAGGGATTTGGAATGAAATCGGTGTGTCCCCAACTCCAAGATCACTTGCGCTCCCTGGAGTGGGTTGCGTGGGGAGCCACTGCTACCTCATGCGGTTCCCTTCCTGTGAGACGTCATGAATTAGAATGTGTCCCCAGATGGGAAAAAGCATGTCTCCTTCATTCCAGCCATACTGTTCATGTCCCCAGGCTGCATCTTTTGGGCTCCCGTGTCTTGGTTTATACTGCTACGCCACGGCTGCTGGTTTGAAAAACAGCTCAGGTAAACCGGAGGCTCTCAACCCTGGCTGCACCTCGGAGTCATGTGAGGACCCTTGTAAAAAGTAGATTGCCTTTCTGTGGTTTGAGTTCTGTGTGCCCCATTTTCAAAGGACAGGCAAAGAGAACTAAGAATTCCCACTCTTCCTGGAAGATCATTGAGGAGACTGCTTTCTCGCAAGTAATCAGATTTCTGCCCATTCTGCAAAGCCAAGTGCCACTCCCCATGCTGCCTTCCTTCCCGCACCCCGAGTGACCTCTGTGGTAGTCCGCACCCCTCCTTTGACTTCCAGACTGTGCTGCCTTGGTCAGTGCAGTTGATTGCCGTCTTTGATACGGACGCTTTGCACCCCAAGTTAGCTTGGGAACTCACGGGTCGGAGTCAGTACCCAAAGTCACTTTCCCTGATGGAAACTGGCTCTGAAACTGCTCCTTCTTCCCACCACAGATTCTGGCTGCAAGACCTCAAGAGAGTCTGGGGTTAGAGGAGGGCAAAGTAGAACCAAAAAATCAGATCTAAGTTCTACCCTCAGAGCATTAAAGCCTGACAACTAGCTGCAGCAGGAGGTAGTAATTCTGGCAGCTAATCGCACCAAGTTCGATGAGAGAACAGAGGAGGGAGCTCCAGGTCCACGTTTCTCCTCGCCTTCCAGATACCTAAGCCAGAGCTTTGCTAGACGTCAAACTAAAAGAGTCTAAAACCAAACTCCCAGTCTTTCCTTTTCCCCCAAATGTACCTACTAAGCCAGAAATCCTAATTGCCTACTGAGTCTTAAAAGTGCCTCCAAATGCCTGAGAAATCCTATTCTTCTTGTGTGTGCTGGTCCAAGCCGAGCTCTGATGGACTGTCCTCTCATCTGAGGCAGGGTCCCAGAGACTTTCTGTAAAAGGACAGAGAGTAAATAGGTTTAGTTAGGTTTAGAGGCCATATAGTCAATCACAGCTCTGCCCTTGGAACGCAGAAATAACCATAGACATGCAGAACAGTGTGTCTGTTCTGATAAAACTTGATGTACATGAACAGGTAGGGCCGGATGGGGCCTGTGAGGCTGTAGTTTGCCAAGCCGTGGACAAAGAGCGTGGAGAACAATCAGGATCTGCTAGAGGTGACCTTCTAGAACACCCCCAAAAATGGTACTGGGCCCCTGCTTGAACACATGCATGACTCCCTAAGGCCCTAAAGACCAGTGAAATCAAAGTCAATAACAGCAGGAGCCTCATTCTGCTGTCTGTCAGGTGCCGCCGATGCTGCTCATCCACATGGTGGCCCGAGTGAAAGTAAGCTGACCCCTGCTGCCTGTAGCCCGGCCATTGTCCTTGGAAAGGGCTCTAGGTGGAGAAAGAGTTGCTACGGTTTGCCATCGCACTCCCAACCAACACCAACTGGAAGTTGCAGGGTAGAAAGGTGCTGGGCTGACAAAAGCTGCTGTTGCACGGAGCGCGGTCAGAGAATGCTGGCCAGCTGAACGCTCCCAGTTGGCACATTCTGCTTCACTATATGTCTGCTGTCCAGAAAATACCATCTGCGGCTGTTAAACTAAATGCTCTCCTTGTGCAAAAGCTCATAGGTGACCTATACATTTCCCATGATTGAAATGTGGCTCTCTAAAAAAATTTTTTAAGTTTTTTAAAAAAGGAAGTTTGGCTTTCTAGATGCCTATGCTAGCAAGTTAGCCTGAGCCTGGCTTTGTGGCTCCCAAGAGGGTGTGGTAAGGCCAGGCCTTTGCCTAGAAAATCGGCCTAGAGTTTCCCTGAGTCAGTGGCACTTGACCTTGGGTTGAATCTGTTTACTCGTTGAATTCTGAGAATCAGTAAAAGCTCTGTGACATGTCTCAGCCTCGTTGATCCCTAATGTATTCCGACACCGCCTCCTAATCAGTCCAGAGCAGAACTGCCTTGCACCCCACACCAAGGAGGTTCGTGAGGTGCAACAGAGGTGTGGCTCACGGTGTGTTGTTAACGTGTGTGCTAAACCGAAGGTTTAGCATCCCCTTGCACGCTGGCTCCTGTAGCCTGGAATACCGGTGGCACCTTCTTCCAGAGCCGGCTCCACTTTCCCGTGGGTCTGGAAGCCCTGAAGCAACCGGGGCCTGGCCTCCGATGGGTGCCACAGTCCATGGTGTTCTGGACCCGCCACCCCAGAAATGTCACTCCCAGAGAGGCTTCTCCCACGCAGGGCTGGAGGGAGGCTCAGGGTCAAGCCCAGAGCAGCCGCACACACTCAGCACACAGGCCGTTCACTTAGACCAGGGAAGGGCCAGATAGGATTTTGGACTGTGTGGGCACATAGTCTCCGTTACAAATTTTCAGCTCTGCCTTTGCAGCCTGAAAGCAGCTGCAGAAAGTATGTAAACGGATGGGCGTGGTCACATTCCAATAAAACTTTATTTACACAAATAGTGGGCTGGATTTGGCCCAAGGGCCATCCTTTGGCAGTCTCTACTTTTCGATTCTTCCCTCCAAAAAGCCAACACTTTACAGCACTTACCATGTCAGGCACTGTTATTCTAAGCACAAAACATGAACAGCCTCAACCACCCAGTGAGGTAGATCCCCCTGCTTCTCCAGATGAGGAAAGTGAGGCCCGGATAAGTGTGGTTTTGCCAGGTCATTATAACCCTGGGGACACCGCACACTCAGCCATCACCACTGTCCTTCCAGCCTCCCATCTTTCAGAATCGCCTCATTCCACGCTTGAAGCATTTACTGAGCACCCCCCGTGAGAGGCGGCCATAAGGATGAAAATTCTATTGCAGACACCCTCTGTTCTTAAACACCAATTGGGAGCAAACTTCTATGACCGATTCTTCCCAGAGGTCGGAGCCAAGAAAACATTTCTTCCTAGACAGAGTTGAATTCCCCTCGGTCTTGGTGTCAGGAAACGCCCGGTTGCATGTTCTGTCCCACCGAGGCAACCTCTTTGGGTGGGGTTTCCCGACATAACTCCCTCCCCCGCCCCTCCCAGCCGGCCCCCCATCCCACGCCCCAGACTTGATTTTCATGACAATTCTGGGTCCTGTGAAATCCGAGGGGGTGTGACT